CTCGCTAAGATTTTTGTTAACCAAAGACTCTTGTTTTTACCAAATATCTCACTGAGATTTCTTGTTAACCAAAGACTCTTGTTTTTACCAAATATCTCGCTAAGATTTCTTGTTAACCAAAGACTCTTGTTTTTACCAAATATCTCACTGAGATTTCTTGTTAACCAAAGACTTTAGTTTTACCAAATATCTCGCTAAGATTTCTTGTTAACCAAAGACTCTTGTTTTTACCAAATATCTCACTGAGATTTCTTGTTATCCAAAGACTTCAGTTTTACCAAATATCTCACTGAGATTTCTTGTTAACCAAAGACTTCAGTTTTACCAAATATCTCACTGAGATTTCTTGTTAACCAAATACTTCAGTTTTACCAAATATCTCACTGAGATTTCTTGTTAACCAAATACTTCAGTTTTACCAAATATCTCACTGAGATTTCTTGTTAACCAAAGACTTCAGTTTTACCAAATATCTCACTGAGATTTCTTGTTAACCAAAGACTCTAGGTTTTACCGAATAACCTCTAAGATTTCCTGTAAACCAAAGACTTTAACTAATAAGTGTTGGATTATGGTACAGCCTAAAGAAAGGGAGCTTAGTCAACAGCACCGTCTCCAATCAGTGACATTAATCCTGATAAACCTTCACAATAATAACAGTATCAAGATCTAACTTAGAGATGTAAAATTGATACCAAAACCACTTCTTATTTTGTCTTTTCATAAACCATATCAAAATATATCTCCATGTTTTAATTTCAAGTTGTAAATGCTCAGAACAGCTAGGAAAAAATCTTATCTTGAATGCTTACAACGTAAATATCTTATATCAATAATCTTATTTTAATGTATTTTGCACTGAAAGATTTGCATTAAAATATGTGTAAAACTGCACTAAAGTTTTGAGCACAGAAGAAAAAGAAACCAAGAGATGATAAAATTTAAATATCTGAATGTTTTACTAGTTTTTACCCCATTTGAGATTTTGTCACACTTTTCTCCAAATTCAAAGCCCATTTTGGAAGATGTGGAAAAAATGTTCCTGCAATGTCATCTATGTCTACTTAAAATTTACATCAAATGCCGCCTGTAACATACAATGAGGTATGTTAAGGATTAGTGATGTCTATCTAGGTAAAATCTGTCTACAATTTCTAAAATGTCCCACAATATCAGTGGTCTCCAGGTGCATTACGACTATCAGTAAACGATCAGATCAGTATTCAGTAGAAAATAAGTAAGAGATTGAATCTATTTACAGTCTATCAACATACCAATTAGCTCCGTCTTTGAGGACAATAACTTTTGTGATAGATGAATACGGTCCTTGCCTAGATATATTGCTTACCGCAATAATTCAAATGAATAACATGAATGTCTGTAATTTTTCTCATTTACACAAGTTTTTTTTACTTGTCACTATTTCCAAGCTTTATATGTTTATACAAATGAATGCAGATGGTACTAAGATGGAATCATCTGACTGTCTGACCTCCAGTACGATAAGCTTGACACTGGTAGAATATTGCTTTTGTTTGGTTAAGCCAGCCCTCAGGTTTAGCTGAGCTACCTACATCGTCTGACCCGTAGCTTGCTGGTCTGGCCAGGAGGGTCCCTGTCGGCACGGGACAATCTCTGCACCGTCAACTCTCTGCTACTTTCCTTAATTTCTCAGAAATTCTGTCTGTGCAGACTGGTTACCAGGACAACCCGATTCCCTCCCAGACATTATTGATCTTTTTAAAGCGTGGTAAGATGTGTGCAGAGGTGATGCACTGGCAGAGCGGGCAGAGGTGAAGCAATGTCAAGATACCTACAGGAAGGCGAAACCTACTACAGGATAGAGACACCAAATACAGGATAGAGACACCAAATATAGGGTAGAGACACCAAATACAGGATAGAGACACTAAATACAGGGTAGACACACTAAATATAGGATAAAGACACCAAATACAGGATAGAGACACCAAATATAGGATAAAGACACAAAATACAGGATAGAGACACCAAATACAGGATAGAGACACCAAATATAGGGTAGAGACACCAAATATAGGATAGAGACACCAAATATGGGATACAGGTACCAAATACAGAGTAGAGACACCAAATATAGGGTTGAGACACCAAATATAGGGTAGAGACACCAAATACAGGGTAGAGACACCAAAAATAGGATAGAGACACCAAATACAGGGTAGAGACACCAAATACAGGGTAGACAACCATTATAGAGTAAAGACAAGTTTGTGAATGCACTGAGACATTGTGGTGTAGCATAAAAAAATCAAGAAGTTAATTAAAATTATATTTGCATCTGCTTCATAATATAGTGTTCTCCTGGATGATCAACCCACAAAGGAGACAACATTCAGGGCTAACCCAAGTGCACTAAGGCATGATGGATCTAGGTACATGGTCTGCACCATGCATTAGATATTGATTTTTGGTCAAGCAGTTAAAAAAACCCAGGCGAGTGGGTCTCTCTGTGTCACACATACATCACACTCAATATGGTTGTCATAGTTGTTAACATTGTCCATAGTTTGATTTATAGGACTCAAACTTTGCATCACTTCATTCATTTTTAACTGAAAGCTACTTTGATTTTTTAAGATTTAAATCAGGATTATGAATTGAAATAAGTTATTATTCATGTTGATCTTGAAAACATTTGTGTATATATATGTCTTCAACACTTTCATTTTTCTCTCAAGCCTTGAGATTCTTTTAACATTTGAGTAAATTTCATTTCTTCATATCAAAAGAAGTATTTTCCACAGATTACTTTTTACATCCTTAAACAATGTGACAATTTTGGAAATTCCACTTAAAACACTATGTATAACTCTTCATTATATCAAAAAAAAAATTTCCAAGATAATGATATTTAAAATTGTAAAATTATACTATCTTTCATTTAAATCAAGCACATGTTATTTCTATTTCACTAACGTAAAAAAAAAGAATTGTCATTCTGTGTAAGTTTCTTTCCTTTTCTGTTGTGATCAGTTGGATAAGATCTATGTAAAAGTTGGAGAACTGGTGACAGAGGAGGTCTTCCTGTGTGTAACAAGGTAGGATAAGAATCTTTGTTTACCTGTGATTCACACACAGGAAATGGCCAGGACTGTTTACAGGAAATACCCTTGTCCAGGTAAATACCCTGCTTTCCACAAAAACTTTCAGAGGATGACTGATCAGACTGTGACCTCACAAGGTCAAGACCTTTTCTATCTTTAAAGATGACTATCGACAAGAAAGGTTTCCTGTTACGTATACACGCAACATAAGCTCTACCTGCAGTATTGTGTTTACTCAGAAAAAAATTAAATTAAATATTTAATCAAGTAGAATTATTTATTAATAGCCAAGGTTATATTTAAATTTTAATCTAAACAATTTTATTCTCACATGCATGGATGGATTTACAATTTAGTTCAGAACTTTATTTTAAATCAATGATTTAAGAGCTTAACTTTTGCTTATTTAGCTACAGAGATGTAACATAACGATTACCTGACATCAGGAATGTATTTAGAACTTATTATACAAAACAAATTAACAACCTCACATATTCAAATTTTGCTGCCTAAGTCAGGATAAACAAACCAAATTGGCAATGTTAAAAAAAAAAAAAAAGAAGAAGGAAGTTGTTTTTCAAGGTTTTAGGGTGAAATGTTTTCAAACCTGATACAAAAAAGACTGGTTTTGATATCTCTTTCAAATAGACTGTATTGTTTGGAATTCCATGTAAATTTTTATCAATATGAGTTTCACCTAGGTTCCTTGACTACAATGACTGGTCCCTCTGGTGTCTGGTTTGTCAAGATTTCATTATAATTTGGATTACATTCGTCAGATTGAAGTCGACTCTCATCTATCGACTGTGTGGCATTTCCTGTTCCATCTGTATCTTCCATTAAAAATCTTCTCCGAGTAAAAAATCTCACCACGTAAATCTTGAACATCACTTGTGCTAAATATAGCCACATTTCCTTCTCAATATTCCTCTTCATTACCACCTAGGCATGGGCATTCTATTTTTAGCTGGAATCGTTGACAACACACGGCTGCCTTAGTAACAGAACCCGAGCTTTGCCTAAACTCATATGCTAATGTATACATCCCTCCTTCTAAAATTAGCCTAAAGCTTTAAAATATTCTGCACTCTGAGTGTGATGTGATGAAATCAGAAACTGGAAAAATTTTTTGTCATAAATAATCTGCAAAATTGTGTAACTGAAATGAAAGTGAAACATGTCTAGATTTGAAATCCTTGTAGTTTGGTGGGCGTGTGCTGTATAGAAAGGCGGAATTAAAGAGGATAATGTGTACTTACATACATGTATATTTGTATCTTATTTCGTGCACTGATATTTTATTTTCATGATGAAATATGCAGCACTAAATCCACCTGCTGGTCTAAAAACTATACAGATTCAAAGAGATTTTTTTTTTTACTGTAAGAAAGATTGATTTTCTTAAAATCCGTCAGCAAAAAATAACATTAAAGAATGAAATAAGTGATGTTTTGTGTGATTGTGTGTGGGAGTACCTGTGTTTTAGTTACTTGTCCAGCAACAGTGTAAAAGTCTATAGGTTTGATCCTTTTGAGGCACGCAATGTTTTTATCACGTGATTGCCATGTTGTTCAATGAATGTACCACACAGGTGTAATATAGCTTATTTTGATGTTATTTCAGATAATCAAATGCCATCACAAACAGCATTGTAAGGTAACAATGGAGACCATAGATACATAGAGCAAATAGGACTTCAAATCTGACGTAGAAACGTCTGTTTTCAACCATACTTGGTTGAAAAATCAATTGTGATAAAAAAAATCTGAATATTTTTATATTTAATGTGTAATTAATGAAACTCATCATGAATTTTTTTATTTTAGCCTTTTTTAAAGACTTGTTTCCATATTACCTGGAAACTCCTACAGGTTACTATATATAAGAGACATTATATCAACATAGTACACTTACTTCATTTATATGCTTGTACGTTTTTATCAGGTCAACGCTGAGTTTGCGGAGCGGTGCAGTTGTGGGCTCCCGGAAGGAGTTTGGGATGCGGTTCTGCATGGCGGCCATGTCCTGCTGTTGCTGCAGGGCGTCCGCCATTCTGTCCAGTTGGTCTGCGGCCGCCCCGGTCAGCTCACGGTACACCATACTAGGATCATGGCGCGCTTTGGACAGCTGGCCTACAAAACATAAATAGGAAAACTTATAATCTTGGTCATCTAAATTCAATCTTAACCTGAGAGATAAATAAAACAGCAATGACATTTCTATATACTTTCAGGAGATGTCTAAAATACATTGAATTCTGGGTCACAAAAACCTTACATTACATTTCCTGTTTAATGTGAAACAACAGTAATATTGGCATGAAAAAGCATTTAGTGTCCAGTTCCAATTAAAAGATTCATCAAAATAAAACAACATTTTTTGTATCACAGATGATAATGAACTTGCCAAAATATTGAAGGAAAAAGACCTCCACCTGAAATATTTCCAGTGATTGGCCAGACATAGGTTTAAAACCATGCTCAATATCCCTTTATCCAAGAAAGTTTTCCATGTGTACAGCAATGAGTAATCTCCCTTTAGTTAAACCTAAATGATCATTACTAGCTTTACATGGTGACTGATGTATATTAGTTTTGTCAATGAAGAAATAAAGCATTTTAATTAACCTCTTATGATGCAGAAAATGAAAAAGAATTATCACTGAGGAAATGGCAGGGCAGTTTTAAATCTCATTTTGGGAAAATAATTGATCAATTTAGAAGGAAATTTTGGAAGTAAACTATATATTTCGAAAATTTTATTTTAAAATAATCAAATTAGGAATGGGACCCATATTTAGAACCACAGAAAAAACCTAGCATCAATCCATACACTATAGGACATAGTAAAACAAGCAAGATGTTTGTGTAGAAGTGTACACAGGAATGAATGAACCACTAATGTATATAAAGATAAACTATTGTATTAGTTTTTGTGTACTGAGTGAAATTCCTGGAGTGATCTCATTCAAATAGATATCCTTTAGTCCTGAAACATCGTTTTTTTTCTTCTAGATATTTTGAAAATATTTCTATAATGATGAAAGTGAGTTTTCCTATCATCAGAGTTTAGACTCTGGCAAAAGAACTTTTATATCTGCATAATTTGTGTATTTTTATCGCAAGTTTACTTATTAGTTACAGAAATTATACAAAGTCTCAGGACACTGAATCACAGAACGGTAACGAAGCAGATTTTCTGTTGCATCTCCCATCACATCTGTATAATATGCCAGTAATAATTACATCTATTATTTATAAGAAGGAACAGAAATAACTTGTTGTAACAGCGAGCTGATGTGACACAAGTTTCAGTCCCTTTTCATATCCTTCTTGTAATACAAGCACATCAGGCCCTCCATATACCAGAGAAAATCACTACCCGAGTTTTCATACAAATTGATGTCAATGACTTAAAAAAGACTGAACATTTTTATCTGACAGAACCTTTTAAATAATTGCATTGTAGGCTGTTTATTAAAATAATATTGAAAAAAGTGGTTCAACTTGTTGGCAATTTTCAAAATATTCTGTATGGTTACATGTCAAACAGAAGTTTTTGATACGTTTTTCTTTTGAGTGTTACATCTCTCTGCTAGGAGGTTGAAGGAAAGGAAATCCAGGTGTTTTAAGTATTAACTGGTATGGTGTTTCAGGTGTATTACCTGGGTATAACTTTACCTCAGCCACTCAGGTCAAGATCACTCGTGTAAGTTTTGAATCATACCATTATATCTAGTTCCTGTTACAAGGTATATATAGATACACATTTCTCCCTTCCCAATTCTTCAAAGTTGTTTCAGTATTCTTTGTTGTTTAGGTCTATGCTGTGGGCCAGTAAAGGTACATCACATGATCTGTCTAGGTATACGCTGAGGGCCAGTAAAGGTACCAAATCACATGACCTGTCTAGGTCTATGCTGTGGGCCAGTAAAGGTACATCACATGATCGGTCTAGGTCTACGCTGAGGGCCAGTAAAGGTACATCACATGATCTGTCTAGGTCTATGCTGAGGGCAAGTAAAGATACATCACATGATCTGTCTAGGTCTACGCTGTGGGCCAGTAAAGGTACATCACATGATCGGTCTAGGTCTACGCTGTGGACCAGTAAAGGTACATCACATGATCTGTCTAGGTCTATGCTGAGGGCCAGTAAAGGTACATCACATGATCTGTCTAGGTCTACGCTATGGGCCAGTAAAGGTACATCACATGATCTGTCTAGGTCTACACTGAGGGCCAGTAAAGGTACATCACAGGATCCGTCTAGGTGTACAGTGTGAGCCAGTTAAAGTTTCCACATCACATGAATCAGTCACCTTTGTAACAGATATTTTTTAAGGCCTTTGCAGTGAGCCAGGTAAGGATACACTTGATACTGTCACACCTATATACCTTAGATGGCGTGTCCGCCCCCAATACACATATTTTGCTTGCCTCATTTACATAATTATGAATGAAAGCTTAGAGCTGACATGATAGGATAACATTAAGCTGTGTCAACCTCCACGATCCTGAGTTATTCATGCATGTCATTCATCTTTAATAATAGATCACAAAGTTCTCATCATCTCTCCTGAATTTTCTCACACTAAATACCGACTTTCACATTCTATTGTTTCTAACTGATTATCTGTCAAATGAACAAAATAAAACAGACTTTTGTATCTAGTAAACATTAAAACATATTTCTACATCAACTGAAACTTTTAGAATTTAAATCACTTCCCCACCCCCCAATCTTATCCTGATTGTAAACACAACATACTCTCAACTTCCATGAAATCTACTAAATTTTGTCTATTTAATTTAAATTTAATTAAACCCCAGCTATTACCAGATGAAAGGAAGCATGAAAATATCCATCTGACTAATCAACCAAACACCTCAGGAAGAAGATGTTACCTGGATTGGTTTTGCAATGAACTCTGTGACTCCTGATCTCATTTACACAGATCTGTACACATCGGTATTTTATCTTCCTAAGATCTTAGGAAAGTATGTCATGTGACCTGACCTTGTCTTTGACTCCATATATTACGCAATATTAGTGAAATAAATATAAAAATTCTGAACTCAGAGCAATAGCATCATTAATAGAAAACAATTAATTCATGGTCAATGTTTCAAACTGGCGTGGTGCCATTAAATATGTGATTATCTAGAGGTTTTTGATTGATTAGTGACCTTGACCTCTGATTATTTAATCAGCGACCTCCACATTTAATAATAGAGACATGATACAGAATAGCGTATTATTTCACTTAATCATAGACCTTGACCCCTGATTATTTAACCTGCGACCTTCACCTACATTAATGTAGATGATGGAAACTGGTTACAGGTATACTGTGCTTGTTTATTTGTTTGTATGCTGTTTTTATCAGCCTATAAACAGTCTGGACCATATTAAGACAGTTGGTGGCTACCTCGCTGAACAACAACACACAGGAAGCCTGTGTAATGTCATCCAGAGCAATTAGCGACCTGTGTGTTTCTCAGCTTCTTGAGAAACAAACAAAATGCCACAGGTTTGGAGCATCAAACCATACACCTTGGATCTCCACCTGGGAATACCTAGGCTCTACCAATTAAGCCATCATGGCCCCCATGGTGTGTAACATACTACATCGAAATCCAAATAAGTCATATTCTTATGTACAAATGATCAAAAAGAAGCCACAGATTTGGTAAATAGTCCCTGTCTCCAGGAGTTTCACGATTCTCACTGTATCATAGTCCAACATCGTTACTGTTTTCTTGAGAATTGCTGTAATGCTACAGAAAAAGTCAGCAAAGCTATGATATACATGCTAGCCTTACACAAAATAATTGTTCAAACAGGTTTGTACTGATCAGACTGAACTAAATAATGAAATATAATGATATCACACTGTTTAATGACAGATAGAGTCTACAGGTAAATTCAACACTATTGTATATATCTCAAATAAAATTACTGTCTAAGAAAGCAGAAACAGCAAGGTTAGAAAATAGAGCAAATATACTGAATGAGTTTGTCCAAGGTTGATATAGCTCAGCTGACTCCATAGAGCCCTACACAATAACACCCATTCATAAACCAAAGTCTAGACTAAGGCCATTACAGCTTGTCACACGGTGTTACAGACAGAATTGCCTACCTGACTCTATGAAGTTAGTGACCTGATTCCACCTGTGTAGGGGTCGGGACACATCTCCTGGGGTCCGTCCTACATGTCTGTATATCTGTGTCTATATTACAAGCTCTAACATGTTACACCCTTCCCACTATTTCTCTCCAAGCGATCAATCGTTTCGCGTTAACCTTTTACCGGAGATTTAAACTTCACACCTACGTAGAGATCCGTTACAGACAAGGTAAATCCTCGTCAAGTTGACTTTAACACTGACAATGCACAAAACTGAAATAAATCATAACCAAAGTACACTTTAAGACTGTCCCCAGAACAGGAAATACACGGACACGAAACATCAACAATGAAGCAGTGCATTGTGGGAGAAGGTTCACAGGGTTCAAAGATGAATGTAGGCTGTAATGTGTACACATGATCGCCACTGGGTCAGTGGTCGTACAGGTAAATATATATAGGTAATGTGATCAGATGTGAACAACACCTGTTTATCTTAATTGATAAAGGTGCACCTATCTTTGTGATTACAAGTCAACACACGTTTAGTATCTGTAGACTGATCATAAATATTACAAACAAATTATCATGCTTCATGAAAATAATATCCACAAAGACATATATTGTTATTGATATGGTTCACTGAACAAACAGAAAAAAATCATTCATTATCACTTAAGTCATTCCCTTTCTTCCTGACCTGTCATGCCTTTCCATTTCTTTGATAATAAAATTTGGTATCAAGAATATGTATCTGGTATCAATATGTATATATATCTTAATTCTTAATAACACTAGCTGACAATGATTTGTTGATAATTTTGTTATTTAAGTCCAAACATTTACAAACATTTTCATTTAATGCAGATTTATATCGATGTGTTGATAATGGCTTTCACATTATGACATATAATTCATACTAAAACATACAGAACTTTTTATCATACTCAATAATACATATTTAGTGTATTACATAGGTTAAGTAAAAGTTACACTGTT